AGACATCAAGGCGCGCTATCACGAAGACAGCCACCCGGCCAACGTCGGCGCCGACCCCCTTAGCTCCACCACGGGGGTGCTGAACCAATAGCACCTAAAAGAAAACGCCTGCGTGTTTCCTCCTCTAAACGTTATCACTAAAAATTGGGTTGTGTGTGTGTTTATACAGCCTAGAACTTGGTCTGCCTCACAGGGGCGACGAGTCTCCCAGCTGTAGATGAGAAATTTAGCCAGTGCGGTACAGCCGCTAGCCTGGGGTCTTTAACGTGCATCACGCAGTAGTGATACACGACCGCACGCCGGTACGATGCTCATCCAGATCGAAACGGGCAGGGGTGGGGCTCGAACCCAGGATCCCTGGGTTCTGCAGCGCGAGCTTTCGCTCCACGCGCGTCGAGCTGGGTGTGCGCTTCAGCCCACTCGGCCACCGATCCCCCAAAACGTTATCACTAGTAGATTCCCTCAGCGTTTCCTAGATAGCCCGGATAAGCACCATCGTCTGCAACATTGCCTGCTTCAGTGGTCATGACTCATTGATTCAAACGTTTATCATGTGAACCATACCGGGCCTATTGGGAGTCATCTAGCATGAAGGAGGAAAAAAGGGTGTTTAGCGCTGACATGGGTTAAGGTGCGCTTTGATAAGGTGTACACGTCTGGCCATTTTGTCCCACACTTTGTTTTATTGTTTGTTTACAAGCGCGAGGAAGAGCGTGCCCCTGTATGCGTTTGTGGCGGGGACTGTGTTATGGCGACATATTTGTTTTCTTTGATTTCTTTGCATTTTACCCGTGAGCGCGTGCTGTCGGCATCGGGTACTACAAAGGGTGGCATCACCCTGAACAGAAGCACATTGAGGCACCCTAGTTAAGGCTGAACTTCATGGAACGAATTTTGTGACGAGTAAAGCGTGTTTCACATGCAGCGATTTTGGCCCTAGAGCGGCGCGATTTCTGCCGTCGCGGCGCTCGTGCCGCTCAACCGCTGGTGCTGGCCAGAGCGCCGCGACGGCAGAAGTCGCGCCGCTTCAGGGCCAAAACCGCTGCATGTGAAACACGCTTAACTGGCGAACGCCGCCCGACGGCACGCTCGCTTTGCGCGCGACGTAGCAGCCACTGTGTTGATTCCGCGCAGAACAAAAGCCGCCGAGCGAAATTCGTCGGTTAAGGGGTATTCACACGAGGGAGAAATCCCGGGGATTTCTCCCCGACACGCGAGCATCACGAGACGAAAACGCGAGGCTTTTGCACATCGCAAAGCCTGACGTTTTCGTCGTGGGATGCGCGTGCCGGGGAGAAATCCCGGGGATTTCTCCCCGGCACGCGCGCATCACGAGATGAAAACGCGAGGCTTTTGCACATCGCAAAGCCTGACGTTTTCGTCGTGGGATGCGCGTGCCGGGGAGAAATCCCCGGGATTTCTCCCTCGTGTGAATACCCCTTTAGTCGCAGCATATTTGTTCCATGGAGTTCAGCCTTTAGATGTACGTACCTTTCAGTCCCGGAGGACCGGATGTAGTATATGATTGATAAAAATTGGCGACCTGCGCGATCGAAAACGTCACTGTGGTCGGCCTACCACGATTGGCCGAATGCTGACTATGATGTCAGCAAAGGATGTCTCATCGACGGAAATAAGAGGAATGAAAGAACTTCAATGTTGACGGCGTTGGCAAAGTTGGTTTCAGGGCGCTACGATTTCAAGCTTTCAACATGCTCATTGCAAACATCATCGAACTTGTTGTTCGCAAGGTCATGACGTCACGAGAGGGAACCAAGCGAGGGCGCCACTGTAACATCTCGCCGCTAATACTAGTGGTCACGCTTTGGACGAGATCACATTAATAGGCTGCAAAGACCGGCAATCTTGATAGTGCCGCATGCACGTTGTCAATGAATTGTAGTAGTTCGCTATCAGCTCGCGCTCGCCAGTTGCGCACGCAAATGGCCGCCAGTGAATGCGCCGTAGTTGTGACGTGGCCCTTACTCTCGTCAAGCTTCGGGGTGTTTGGCGCTTGGGGCGGGGCGGGGATATACTAACTAAGCATCATGCGCAGGCCTTATCTTCTAGGTGGCATTGGCTGGACTCCCTGCGTCGTCGAAAATTCGGCCGGATCGTCTACATACTGGGCAAGCAGGAAGACCTCGCCAAGCGCTCGAGTCTCGCCTGTTAGAAGTCATCAACCGTGGCGGCCCCGCGAAAACGACCGTCGTGAATAACGCTACTTTTTTTTTTTAATTTGGGAAAATGCAAGAGAGGTTAGCCAGAAAATGCATTCCGGCTGGCTACTTAGCATGGGAAGGGGAAAAGGAAGAAAGATAGCACAAGAAAGGCATACGTTATGGGTTGCTATACAAAAGTCAAAGTTCCGGTGTAGAACAATCAAGGTACAGCACGAGACCTGTACAGTAACAGGAGAGGACACTCATACATCACCGCACAGGAAGGTTCTAATCACATTGTATGTTCAACACATTCAGTATTAGCATAAATAGTAGAAATAATGAACAGATTCCATATACAGTCTGTACATTGAAAAGGTGAACGAATGTGTGTTCAAATTTTGTTGAGGTCTGCTCACGTTTCGTGGTTGTATTTCTGGTGCTGTTCTTCACCCTCTTCATCATCCCGTCATCATCATCATAATTCACACGATGCATTTGTATTATACCATTTCATCATTATGAGTAGCGGCGCCGTAGATCTGAAAGGTATGAGCAATTTGCTTTTCTACGGCGCCGCGGCTCTCCTGAGCTAAAATAAATACTGTATGTCATACCACATCATATCGTAAATTATTATCACGTGCTTCGAGCTGGTGTGCGCTAGCCCGTTCGGCCACCAATCGCCCCACTAAAGGAGCAAAACAAAATCGAGAAACCTGCAGCCGTTTATCGCCGTCGAACGTCATTGGTTGGTCGAGCCGTGGCGTCATAAAAGAACCAGTTGAGATTCTAATTGCATCTTTCTCGGAACGATCAACTGGTAATCCTTACCTGGTTTGATCTCCGCTTCGCGTAAGCTCCTCGGATTCGCTGAGGTGCCGGCCTCTTGTGTAGAAAAATGCTCGGAAGAAACCTGCTGAACTAGCAACTATTTACTGAAGATAAACTTATTTTTCTTCCACACAAATTAGTTCGAAATATAAAAACTAATGGGTGTGCAAGAACAAGAACTTTATCTTCATTAAATGGTTGCTAGTCCAGCATTGTGTTCGTTTTTTTTATTCTTTATCTCTCTTTGTGTATCTTCCTACGTTCAGCTGGCATCCTTCAAAAGCATGAATCGCCCACTAGGTCAGCTACAACTTCAAGCAGTTGCAGCAAGTAACGACGACGTACGACGTTGGCTCTGCGAGCCGAGCAGCACACGCGAGGGTCCCTTTGTATCATGTGTTTCCTTCTTCTTTTACGGCTCTCTCGCGCTACCGCGGAGGGGTGTGGTTTTAAGGCAACTTCAAAGGGTTCTTTTTAGGTGATACCGGCATGAAGTAGCCTATTTTTGAAGTATTCGTGATGCTGGAAGTTGGCAAAAAAATAATTAATGGGTTTTAATATTTTCCCTTTCATTTTACGTGTGAGCGTAGTAGAGACTACAAGATCGAGCTTTGGGCTTTCAGCGTCCCTGCCAAGCGCGCGCGCTCGTGCAGCGCAAGCACTGTTCAGGGCCACATGCTCGCGCTTAGCATCGGCTCCGTCTGGACTTAAGCTAAAACGAAGTATAGGAAGAATACAGGACACTCCCCGAGAAGACATAAACAAAAGACGACAACGAAGTACCGCGGAATCGCGCTTGACAGCGGCAGCGCACCTCATTCCGAGACGTCGCTTGGTCACATGCGCTGGCGGGGAGAGTCGTCCCTAAATGAACTAGGGAAAAACCAGGATTCTCTCCGGTATTCCCCTAGTAAAGTATTTGGTGCCAATTTACGCCTAAGTCAGTGGGCATAAACTGTTCAGCGCTAAAAGCGGCAGCTTCGAAGTCTGGGACAAAAATGGCTAGCGCAAGTGAAGATCGCACCAAGATTTTTTTAGTCTAGCTGGCAATGAACAGCCGCTAACTATATTTATGTAAACACCGTCATTTCATTGATGCACAGTCTTCGTGGTATCATCTCAAGATTGTTGTGTTGCAAGCAGTCTTTTACAGCTTGCGCGTCTTCGTGTCTTTCGAATGCATGTGAACACCTCTTTAAGAATGTTTCTCGGATGATGGACAATTGTACAGAAACGCATTTCCGTCCATCGAGAAGTTGGTAGAGAAATCACCCGAAATACCCTATGTATTGTCGCCGCATTTCTATTCCATCAAAGAAAAATAACGACATATTCCCTATTGGACGCCAGGCCTCGATCACACGCTCTTCCACCGTACTTTCACTGCGCACGCACGGTCGAAGCTCGCGAGGCACTAATGTCTTGCCGAAACAAAGCGCGCCCTAGAGGCGGACCACCTGAAAAACCTCACCGCTGTTCCAATCCTGTCAGTGATTACAGAAACGTTTAAATTAACAACGTCCCAAAAATATGGCCCTTCCATATATTGTATCATCTCGTCATTAGCACGAGCCGCATGGACGACGACATTCTTCGGAACATCGTACTTCTTCAGGAAGCGTCCCCTAGCGTTCCCAGACATTCCAACTGTACGAACACTCTACAGTGTACTAGGTTTTAGTTCACCGTAGCCCATAATTTAAGCCGTAGTCCCACCAAAGTAGCAAACAAACAATTCGGACACCGACACACCTCAAGCCCGCGCAGCCTGCACGCGAAGGTGTATACCTTCGGCAGGCTTGCAATCACTCGAGCTTACTTCCCGAGCACTGAGGAACTGCAAACCTGCCAAAGCTACCCTCGCGTGCATGCTGCATACGCTTGACGCTTGTCGGTGTTGGTTGTTTCTGTGTATCGCTGTAGTGTGACTCGGGCACAAAGGACGAATCTTTCAACCGATGGCACGACTCGCGTCACGCGCCGGTCGAAGTCGCGTTCCAGGCATTACGGGGAGGGAGGCTGGGCCGCCAACTCGTTGATCTGCGCGTAGATTCTGCGGATTATGTTGATCTCCTCTACGACCGAGTTGGCGATCAGGTCCAGGAAGGCGATCACAATGACGACCGCGAGGCAGGTTCCGCCTACGATCATCACATGCTCCCTGACGAAACGGTGCGCCGCGTCGGGGCAGTTGCCGATGTAGATGCGGAACCATGCGTCGTAGCCGGACATGTTCAGTACCTTGCGCCCGCAGAAGATGCTCAACAGTTCCCCGGACGAATTCTGCTTGCAGCATGAGTGCGGCACCGAGCAGCGCTCCTGGCTCGGGTTCTGGGTGCTGCAATTGAAGTAGCTGCACCGCGGTGGTAGACATGCAGTCAAATGATTACTATAGTCAGGTTGTAATACAATATCTTGAGTAGCGGCTCTCTTCACACAAAATAGGGTTGCTATGCCAGTAGCGGGCGCAATATACCTTTTAAATCACCCAAGCACCAAGGAGCGTGCGCCTCTGTAGTTACACGCGCTATGCTTGCTAGTGTATGCAACAGTAATTTCCTAAAGCCAAAATCAAAACAAAATGGCACTTTGCACGTGCGTTCGTCAACACCTTATTTTGATCATTTCAAGTTTTTTTTTTTTTTTTTACAAAGAAGGCGAGCGCATGCGGCGGGTGTGCTTAAGTTCCAAGAATTATCATTAATGCTAGGGTATTTTAGCAAACGGTTCATTGGCAATGACTATGACTTGATACTTAGACTTTTAGAGCTTCATTAGACTCCATATTTGCGTGCACTGTTCACTGGGCATGCTGAGAACGAGCTCACCATTATAAGATCCCAAGACCGGCAACCTTGGTGTGGAATGCACATTGCATAAGCACTGTGGAAGCTTGCCGTCAGCACGCGCTGAGCAGCTATATGCACTCAGGTATGGCCGCCAGTGAATACCGTATAACCCTATAGTTCAGTCAGTTACGTTGTTTACGTTCAAAGCGACCCACAAGACAGCAACGACAGAGTCACCGGATCAACTGTTCCCCTTACGGAACGTGGTATGCAATGTGAGAGATAACCCTTGTGAAGCACTCGTGAGTTACCGCCGTCGCGGTTTACTTGTCGTTTTGGTACCTACGCAAATGTATGAACCAGACCATATTTGCGGCAGGAAGTTTGGGTATCATCGCCTGGTGGAATTTTTTTGCAACCCAGAGTACTTGAACTTCCTCTGATGGTGCAAGCACGTGCAATGCCAAGGTTCTAAGCACTATGAAAATTAAAACATAACCGCGTGGGGAGCACGTGCACTACCTATAGTGAGGCAGAGCCGTATATTGAGAGAGGTTGGCCAATGAGTGGAGCAAATGCCGCCGCCAGCGCCGAATACTCCCCGCATGGTTAGAGAGCAGTGTGTCGAACCGAAAAAAATATGGGTTCGGTTACGGTTCAGGTTCAAGTAAATTTATTTGGTTCCGGTTCAGTTCCGGTTCGATTGATTCGATCCGTGAACCGGTTCGCGAACCGGTTCGGGGCGCTAAACCGGTTTGCGAACCGGTTCGGACATTATAAATGACAAATTGCGGCATCAAAATAAATTACAAATAAAACATCTGAAATCAGCACATACGAAACGGGATACATTGCAGTGTAAGGCTCAGAGATTTCTACCAGGAATGGTTTCTTTATGTGCACTCAAAGGTTACCTCACCGACGTTTACGCATTCGGACTTCATCTAATTGGGTCCGACGCAGTAGCTGTAAAATCTGCAACCTCCTTACAAACCCACTTGCAAGTAGAACTCGCTAACTATCCCGCCACCTCGGCGTGTAAGCAATTGAATAAACAGTGGGGAGAAAATACAACTTTCTTTATTTGAACTAGCCTTCGGTAACTCAAATTAGACCCTTAAAGAAGTTTTCATTAAGCAAGATACGGAATATGAAAAAAACTTCACCGAACGCAACGCCAGAAGGACGTAATAGGATAAATATTAAAATAGAAGAGTTGGCTGTCTCACAAATATGTTAGCTTCTAAGTGCCTATACGAAACCGGATGCATTATTATCAAACTCCACAGCCTTTTCTTTTCTCATTCCTATGGAAGCAAGCTTCAAGAACTCGCGCGTTCTAGAAACGTGTTATGAAATGAGCACACAGCAGCATTTAGGATTTACGAGATTGTAGGAAAATGAAATCCCGTGACGTGATTTTTTTTTTTTTTTGCACAGTTTTTTAATTCTCTTTCTTCCGTGCAAGCCGCGACCAGCGCAATACTGGTTCCTATGTCAAGATTGATGAATGCAGCGTTTGTCAAGGTTCATGGATGCGGCGTTTATATTCCTAAGACTGAGTGGAGAGCAGTCCGGCAAGACCACCGCGGAGGCGGCATGCAGCTTTGTTGCCTTCCCCAGCAGCGTCGAAGGCCGCACTTTCAAAGGCGCTGCTCAGACACATGTATTTGCGTGCACGAGACACGAGCCCGAGTAGGGTGAAAGGGGGGGGGGGGGGGGGGGGGGTGTTTATGACCATTTCCCTTCCTGACAAAAAAAAAGGAGCGAAAAACCCCAGATCGTGGGGCCCCTCCCGTGTTTTCTTCGTTTGCTCGAAGCCGCTTTCCAAAGAAAGAGGACAAGACCCCTAAGGGGCCGGTCACCCTCCCAAAGGGCCGGCTTTGTACAGGGATAGGAGTGTGCTAGGCGAAGTGCGCGTTTGGCCTCGCTGAAATCGCCATTATCTGTGTATATCCCTCTTCTCCAATGCTGCGGCAAAGCAACATCGCTTTCGTAAATATTTTTAGGCTTTTTTATTTTCTTTTTTACGAGCTACATGGGGCTCCCCAGAGAGTCGGGGGCCCTGGGCTGCAGCCCCCTTAGCCCGTACCTTAATCCGGCCCTGAACTCAGTACCCTTCCGCTTTCGAAAACTTACGAAGAAGGCTTCCGCCACTCACTAGGAGTGAAGTGGTATACTCAAGGAGTCAACAACATCGCTTGTTGAGAATAGGATGTAACGCTTTTTACGATGGGATGCAAAAAAATCCGGAAAAACAAAAAAAACGTACATGTTTTTGTTCCAGTCTTGATAACTCATGGAGGTCATGCCGCAGCACTGCAGATAGCGCTGCACAGCATCCACGAACTGCTGGGAGTCCGCGGTGTCCCGATAGTGGATCACCAGAGACTCCGACAGCGTGTCTTGTATCAGCTTCTTGACGTGAGCTGTTAGGAATAGAATGTAACTTATAAAGTAAAGATTAAAATTAAGCGGCCAAAGGGCCGTATCGTGCCAAAGCAAACTTTCGCGTGCCTGTAAATTCGAATATTATCGCTTGTTGTTGTTACACTTTATTATAACGGGGATGGCTCGACGGCCTGGAAAGGAAGGGTTAGAAAGAAAATATATTCTTCCGTCGATATTAGTGCATATTTTCACTTTCTAGCTCCAAGCAAGCAAGCAAGCACTGGCATTTACTGCTCTAAAGACATGAGTACAGAAGGTTTTTGGTTCAAATCCGCCAAGGAAATTCCTTAATTCTTAAAGAGAGCGCTCACGGCGGGGGCTATACTCCAGCTTTCTCGGTGATCGTTTATTGACAGGGTCACCCCAAAAATCACTTCATCACAATTACCGATGGGTATACAGTGAATCCAGGAAAGCACATTGTCGTCCGTGTACGTGCTTACTATTCGCGTGTTTACGGGGGGAAATGTTCCCACGGAGGCCGCTCGAGAATATAATTTAAAGTCCATTGGTCTTAAAGCTCGCCCTAGCTGATACTTTCACTTTTTTCCCGAATACGGCGAAAGCTACGGTTAAGAGCTATCAGCTAAACTGAGAGGAACTGAGGGAGAGGAGGAGATGAAAGCGCGCGGGGACGTCAGGACGCCGAGAGCGTTGATTAGAAGTATTAAGGGGCTTATGGAAAGGCTAGGTGACTTTGTCATACCAACTCACCGTGTCTCTTCCCCACTAACGCGAACAAGAGCTTCGCGTGCTGCTTAAGCAGGGTCTAGCGATAGAGCTAACCTTTCCATCTATCCATCAATCCTACCAACCAAAGCTCGACGCTCTGGCGTAAAAGCGATCTGTTATCTCCTATCCTTCAGTATCCATATGGAAGTATCTTTTGAAGGTTTGAGGAGAATTGCCAAATCCTTAGAAGCGGATCAATGCGCGGTTGTCAAAGAGATTCTCGCGACTAAGCAAACTATGTTCAAGCCTACCGGGCATGAAGAAGACGATGATACCGCAGATCAGGCCGATCACAATGAGCATGGTAAGCACGACCGAGTAGATTCTGAGGAGCAAGGTGTTCTCGCGCAGGGCCCCGACGCAACCGCAACAGGACACGAAGAAGAAGACCAGTCCCGTGGCCGTTACCACCAGCTCAATACGCGTCACCACCCAGCTGTAAATGTTAAACTTCCGGAGCGTCTCCTGGTCGTCGTCGGCGGAGCCGTCCCAAGTCTCCAGAAGCGTGTAGAGACCGGAGAGCGCCATGAACGCGCCGACCACGCAGAGAACCATGTTCAAGAGCAGCAGGGGGTAGCGGACCGCCGGATTCACGTCTAGCAGAACTGTGTGATCCGGCGTCGGGGGATTCTGTGGTTCCACGAAGACTTCGTCATCGGGACTGTCGATTCCGGCGACGTCGCCGACGCCGGACATGGAAGGAGTGCGTGGTTTGCTAGAGGCCCCCTCACTGAGTCCTCCGGTCGCACTTCTTCGGAATCTGTGTCTTGCTTCTTCCACTTGCACTGACCAGCGTCTTCTGGAAGGTGATGATCTAGGTTCAGCGATAATCTATGTAGAATTTGGTGGCATCGGAAGATTTGTCCCGTTTGGAACGCATCAAAACGCGGACAGCGTGAGCACGCGAAATGGAGACTTTTGCTCTCGCTCATTTTCCTCTTCTTCTTTTGTCACTGTTATTGTTGATGACTGTGGTGGTGGCCGAAGTTCCGAACTGCTGAAACCGGTGATTCTTGGTTCAATCAAATACTTTACTGGGGGAAATACATTCCACTCCTCGAAAATACAATAGCCTCAGCGCGGAAAGGTTTTCTAGGCTTCGCGAGAGCCATCTATCGTCGAGAGGGTTACGGCTACGGGGAGGTAAATGATGATGATGGTGGTTCTTGATATTGAGGCTGGCTTTTTCGGCAGTTTGATACTTTAGACCCATGTTACGGATAAAAAAAAATAAGACGCAGGATGGCCAAAGAAACGCATTTTTCGTTTAAGGCTCGTCAAATTATTAGGCGGTGGAGAAATGCAGCCTTCTGCGTTAAGTCTTTGTTTCGAACTCTTTTTGTTCGCCTTCCGCACATTCAAATGCATGCTGGAAGGGCCTTAGAACGCACCTGGTATCGCTGCGCCGAAGTGTTCTTCCGCATCATAAAGTTTGTCTGCTTTCCTCGCCGTCACTACAGTGGCTTAAAGGGGGTAGTGTAACGAACTAAACCGGAGAAGCGGCACAGCGTTGGAAGACGCCCGCGGGTGGCGCTGGCGCATGCAGCACCGTCGTTCCGGCTATGGCTCCGGCTTGGCCGCTTGGTCAGCTTGGCTCCGGCCAGCTCCGGCCAATTCGCAGCTGTCGACTACACTGTCGTCTGCTAGTTTCACAGTTTTATTCTCCTTAAAACACAAATCATGTCGTTGGAGGTTCGCTGGAAACAAATAATTGTTTTTGAGGTATTTATATTAGTTATGAAGCGTGTTAAGGTGCCTCTATCTGCCGGCCGATTGAGGCACCCAACGGAGCTGCGGATCGAAGCGCCACCTACACCGGCTTCCAAGGAGCGGCCGTTCCCGATGCATGGTGAAGGCTACGCGATAACCACACTACCCCCTTTAAAGGGCAACTCCGCTCAATTCCGAAGATTTTGGGATAAAGATTGATTTCGAATTAAAAAGCCCTACTAAAACACACTACGTCGTTTGCTTAGCGAAAAATGGGATATATATTTTTAAATCTAATTTTAAACACGAGCGGAAATCGAAACCGAAACTTCGGCTCCACCCGGCAACATTGGCCTCGGGTCGCCAAGTACATGGTCATCACGTGGTACGATATATCACGTGATCCTCGACCCAACGACGGGCGGGATTGGGGTGGGGGCGGGCGCTGAGCCCGTCACCCGTTTGCGTTCATAAAGACGACTTATGCGCCAACCGCTCGTCAAGTGCTCGTTACGTCAGTTATAGGTTCTGGTAGCGGTCTAAACGGCCCTTTTTAGGGCCCCCATATTTTGCAAACGGAGCTGTGTTTTTTTAATGCGGCACCCCGTGTTTCTGTAAAAAAGTTCACAGGAAAGACCCATCAAAGGCATGTGGTCGCCAACTTGGATATCGCGTGTTTGATTCAAATAAAAATTGTTCTTGCTTATTTCGCACCTTTGACCCCAAAATGCCGTAGTTGCAGTCGTTCCGCGGTGCTGTTGCTCACCCATTCGCCGTCGGCGTGTCTCAGCTTCGTCGTCTTTGCTAGCGGCGCACCGGCGGAGGTGGTTGATCTGACACACCGCGTTCGGCTTTGGCTAGCAGAGGGCGTTCGTAAATGGCGTCAGCTGTTGCTGGCTTCACGCGGCGGTACCGCGCGTGCTTCCATTCATTCGGCGTTCGTTGCCATGGTGACGGCGAGGAAAGCAGACTAACTTTATGTTGGGGAAGAACGCTGCGGCGCAGCAATACCAGTTGCGTTCTAAGGCCCTTCCCGCATGCTTTTCAATGGGCGGAAGGCGAACAAAAAGGGGTCCAAATAAGGACTTAACGCAGAATGTTGCATTTCTCCAGCGCCTCATAATTTGACGAGTCTTGCACGAAAAGCATGTTTTTAGACCGGGGTTTGTAGATAGTCTTTTTTTACAACAACGTGGGTCTAAAGTATCAATGAGCCGCTTTTTCTTTCAAAGGCAGTGCCCGGTGGACGCGCCGCTGGCCGTTAGATTTTGTCTTTTTATCCTATCTTATTTTATTTATACATATATACGCGCATAAATAAAGAACACAACGACGACGACATTGAGGGGACGACACACCGGGTGACGGCGGTGCCTGAATCTGAGGCGTGGGACTCGGTTCTTCGGAGGCGGTAGCTTCCACTTTGACTCTGCTACCTCCTTCAAACCTGATGCTTCGACCGCAGTGGACTCCAGTGAGCAACAGTGCCACATGTTCCTGGGGCTCTTTCATGCACCGATCGAACGGCGTGCCAGATTCCCATGGCTCGCTGCTGACCCGCCCAACCCGCCTCCACTAATCTGGAGTTCTGCGAATTGGACTGCCATCATCCCGAATACCAACAATCCATGTCGTCGTCATTATGCACCTATATACACATCACATTATCATGTACACAAGACGCAGCACCGTGGGCCTCCACGGTACGAGCTACTCCCTTCCCGCGGTGCTGCGGCTCTCCAGAGCCAAATAAACAGACTAAAGACATAATGCTTAGCTGACCAACAGCCGGTAGCGCCTTAAAAAAAGAACAATAGTGTCTTCTTCTTTAAAGAATACAAATTCCAAAACTAATAATTACTAGTGACGCACATGGGTGAAATAACATGCGCACGTTGCACGTGCCTCGTGCATCGACGCACCTTGCGCTATACTTTTGAAACATGAAGGGGCTTTAGGTGGAGATAGAGACGACACCGCCGCAGCCGCCGCGGACATCCACGTGCCCATGCTGTATGCTCGCGGCTGGATTGGGGGCTGTAGGCGCATTCTGCGAGAAGCGCTAAGTAGATTCACTCACCCTCAAACTCACACTCACACTCACACCAGAAAAACGGTCATTCACGTCGCGCTGACTTTCAACTCAAATTGTAGTTTCGTCTTCTTTCGTTTTTCTTTTACCCGTCTTAAAATTGTTATCTCACTTCATTCTCTTCTGTACAAAACAATTAGCAATGTCTATCGCACATTACCTTCGAGAATCGAGAAAAAACAATTCTTTTTCCGTTAGCGTTATGGATGGACTGCTAACACAGGTGTCACTTCTTTTTATGATGTGAGCTGCCTCTATTATTTCACGTGTTAACTGATGATGGTTCTTTGCGATTATGGTGCTATTTTCGAAGTCCGCGGCGCACCCACAGTCACGGCAGTGAATGCCCAAAAGTCCTGAGTTAGCTAATCGGGTGTTGTTGTTGTGTTCCCTTAATCTGTCGTTAATACATCTTCCAGTTTGTCCTATGTATTGTTTGCCGCATGATAGGGGAAAGGAATAAATCACTCCTTCTGAGCAAGGTATGTATGGGGTTTTATGCTTTTTAGTGCAGACGGTATTAGTTTTTTTGTGGGTGCGCCGCGGACTTCGAAAATAGCACCATAATCGCAAAGAACCATCATCAGTTAACACGTGAGATAATAGAGGCAGCTCACATCATAAAAAGAAGTGACACCTGTGTTAGCAGTCCATCCATAACGCTAACAGAAAAAGAATTGTTTTTTCTCGACTCTCGAAGGTAATGTGCGATAGACATTGCTAATTGTTTTGTACAGAAGAGAATGAAGTGAGATAACAATTTTAAGACGGGTAAAAGAAAAACGAAAGAAGACGAAAATACAATTTGAGTTGAAAGTCAGCGCGACGTGAATGACCGTTTTTCTGGTGTGAGTGTGAGTGTGAGTTTGAGGGTGAGTGAATCTACTTAGCGCTTCTCGCACAATATGAATACCCAACTCGCCCGAGCATCCATTCTAAGAAGCTTCATTTCTAGTACTTCGGGCCCATTCGCAAGAACATCTTTGAGCTCGTCCTTCCTCACCACCATGATTGCCATCTCCACTTGTCAAGCGAGGACCTACGGTTACTGTCTCCGGGTGAAAATATTACCCCCCGAAGTCAAGGAGCTGTTTGGGGGCTTTACCCCCTCTGTAGGTCACGGGAGGAGAGTATGCAAGATCTTACAATCCGAGTGACATAGGCAAACAAGACATTACCGTGATTGCCTTCACTTTAAACTCTGTGACAATGCAAGTCCTTCGACCGGAAAAAAGAGATGGCGAGAGATTTCTTACTCTACTGAAAGAACGACGGAGTTTCTCTGGCGTCTCACCCTAAACCATCTTCGCGCGATCACACCAAAGAAAACCACGAGTCCCTGCAATCTTGTACACATCATCGGAGACGTACAGTTACCGCAACATGTGCAGCACGTTCTCAGTATGGGACCCAAGTTCGCCGTAGAACCCAGAAAATCGGCACCTGAGCTACTGTCTCTAGTAAGGCAAGTGTCAAGAGGGGCTTCCTTATCTGAGTGTGATAGATGCACTTCAGAGGGCGTAGACGTTTTATCACGATATAAACCTTCTGTAAGACATCTGCCAATCAAAAAGGTTGAGGATTACTTGAAGGAGAATTCCTTAACCTTAACACCAGCAGACAAAGAAGGCGGTTTTGTTGTCATGCCCAAAGAGGAGTTCGGTGTAAAAGCCCTTTTAGCAATCGAATCTGTGTTCCAACGTCACGACGGCATCTCATTAACAAAAGTAAAATGTGAAGCTAAAAGGCTCCTTCAGGACTTAAATATAAAAGAGCCTTGCCCTTCTTTTGAAAAAAGCAAACACCTTAGCTTAGAAATATTTTTCAGCGCCAAGACGCACAAGGTTGAGTGTCCCTTGCGAGTTATTGTGTCAGAAAGAGACACCTGGCAAAA